AAACTCACGAACTGCAGTCGATTGACAAAAGGGCTTTCCATGTACAGGTTACAAGTGGGCCTCATCAAGGGAGTGTGGAGACATCTCATTTGTGGGATCTTCCCATGGCAACAGTTGAGGCAACGTGAACACTTTTGAAATAACAATGTCACATTAATAACATAAATAGATGAAATGCAACCATTCTAATTCCACTGATGGATAAAGACCTCGATCCCATGCCACGTCGGTCATGGCTTGTGTTCGCCACACTTCACCACGGGGACGGTCAGTGTGGTTTTGGTTTAATGAAGTGGGTGGAGCGAGGGCAGCACCATTTGTCACTTTTGCCACTGATGTTAGCCGTGGCCGGGTGTCGAACTGGGGGATAGCTGCAGTGCCAGATTATATCCTCGTAGCAAAAGTAGCTACATATGCTACAGGCCCCGCATTTTCAAGGGCCCCCGCGCTAAATGCTTTCAAGCTATCAATTCCGGTTCAGTGATTCTGCATTTGCTCTATTACTATAGTACTATACTGCCTTTTATGAACGACTGGGTGTTTAAGGTTAGCGATTTGTCGTATTATCTGGCTGTATAGCAAATAAAAAAAATACAATAACGTTACTATGCTAGTAAAAAATGTGTGTTTTAACTTTTTTTTTTTATATTTAGGGCCCCTTTATAACATCATGCTACAGGCCCCGCACGAGCTTAGTCCGGCACTGGGTGGCTGGGCGTACCGTGGAACCAACAACAGCTCCCACACACACCCATACTCTGAGCTGTGGCAACCCCATGGCCTCTGGTTCCTCTCCAAAACCTCACGGCGCAGCACCGCGCCACTAGCGGGCAGCACTCGCTCGTGCTGAACTCTTGAAGCCATAATATAGGTTTTTTTGGGGGTTAGATCGCATAAATATATAAATGTGTCGTTAAACCCGCCACACCCGACACAGAACGTGCCAATTCGTCACGAGTACAGCACGCCGGTGTGTTGGAGAGCAAAACCACAACATTTACAAACTGAGTACGACGTTTCAGCCAGTTAACACACTGCCTCCCGGAAGCGACTGCTTACAAAACCCCGAACAATCTCCCTCCACATTCACCAGGGGGTCTCACGAGGGAGGGGGGGGGGGGGGCTCCTCGTCACCCAGCCCCCCTGGTTTTCCCTGTGGCTCCACTCATTTCGAGGGTTTTTTCTTAGGAGAATTCTGTCCCTTTTCACGCATTGTCTTACAATTTTAAACATCTTTTTGCTAAAACCTCTCAAAGTTGTGGTTAGCTTCAGGAACGGAGTTGAATATAAACCCGAACACAGAGAGCTCCTAACAGCACGACTGCAGTTACCTGTCCAGTGGCCCTTACCAGTGTCCCTGTACAAAGCGAGTTTGCCAGTACCTTCATATGATGATATGAGCGTTTTTAATTTGTAACATCCATTAATTAAGCTCCTGCTGTGTGCAACGCTGACCTTTGACCTTCACCCGTCGTCACCTGCCTGGGCACTGCCAGCAGGTGATGCCCATCCGTAGATTGTGCCATCGCCTGTGAATGGAATTTTGTTCAAAAGAACATTGCGCAGTTTATTGCGTTATTGACATTCAAGCGCGTCTGTGAGTCAGAGATGCAATTTGCGCCCTCCTTTGTGGCTCGTGTCACGCCACGCGAGGAAGCGGAGACTGACAATCTCGACGATGAGCGATGTACAACAGATGGCTTTTGACCTCGGCGTAGAAATGAGGTTTCAGATTATTCATACAATGCAGTTGTCTTTTGAAGTGTACACGGTATTGTGGTTACGAATAATCACCACATTCATCGTATGGGCAGATATCAACTTGTTTATAAACAGACGTACGTACAATTGTTAATTAGATATGAGGCTAAGAGTTGTGCAATAATGAATATTAAATTGCCAATTTGACTAAATCACCCGCAATGGGCCTGATCTCTTCAGCTCTGAGAAGCTAAGCAGTGGCGAGCCTGGACACTTCATGAATGCATGTACAGGTGTCGCAGCAGGCTGTGTGCAACAGAGGGCTGTGGGAGGACATGCGTTGTCGTGTGTTTCTGTGATTCCACGTGTATGTTCACTGCCTTCACCAGCCCGCACTGCGTGGTGAAGTATGGCCAATGACCCTCACGACCCACACGGTGTGCGGAAACGTCGGTTAGTGGGCGCTAATGGATGATTGAGTATTGAACGCGTCATGCCCGTGCTAAGTGGAGGTGGCTGTTGCAGCAGCCCTCTGAGAGTGACAGTCACCACCGCCACCTCTGGCCACAGTCACATTGCAGTGCATCGTCAGTGAAGCGAATGTCGATGAGCGTGGACGTGGTCGCACTGCTAGTCGCGTGGTGACGGCGAGACGAGGGGTCGCTCATCTTGTCAAATCTTCTCTTTGCCAACAGCAGCGACGTGAAGTCGGGGGTAGGCGACGGGGAAGTCGCGCGAGGCAGGCACAGGGAGAGGAGAGATACTTATTGGCAGAGAGAGAGATAGGGGAGACTTCTTGGCAGAGGGAGAGGGGAGAGACTTCTTGGCAGAGAGAGAGATAGGGAAGACTTCTTGGTAGAGGGAGAGAGGAGATACTTCTTCTGCTGCTTTGAGATGGCTCGCGAATTGGAACGGGGAGAGGCGCGCGCGGCTCCACGCGGCCCTCTGGAGAGGATTTTCATCGCGAAACAAACAAACAAACGAGATAACAACAACAACAAACAGCACGCGTGTGTGGCCGCGGCGTGGAAACGAAGTGAAGCGCTCTTTATTTCGCGATGTTTGCACGGTGCGCAGCTACATCCGTCCCATGGCATATGCGTTTAATGCACAGAGCTGTTTTCAGTTACGGGTCTATAAGCAATTGTAAAAAAATAGGCAACTTAATTTAAGAGACTGTTATAGTCAGCGAGGGGAGCAGATCGATAACATTCCCACGGGCGGTCCAGAATGTACCAGCTTCTTAAATAGGGACCGATATTAATAATAATAATAAAAAACACTTTAAATGATTTCACCCCCTCTGGTGAATATAAATACAATACTAACTTTGGGCGTCTCAAGGGAGGAGGTTAGGGGCGATTTCCCCCCCCCCCTCATCCCTCACTCTTGATCCGCCACTGAAGCCAGCAGCTTACACAGCAGCAGCAGTAGCAGTACACGTGTGTGTTCAATCAGGTGAACGTTTCTGTTCCAACGCAGAAGCAACAACGCGATTAGTGCGAGCGTTTAGACTTGACAACGTCGCCAAATACAGCTCCGACACGCGGGGTTTGGGAGCGCACGTCGTCTGGAACTTTACTCCAAAGCCTTTGCCACTTTGCCAAGACTCTCACGGCTTTGTGTGAAACCGAGCAGAGGACGTGATAGATGGCCTTGAATTAAGTCCGTCGGCAGTATTGAACTGAGTTAAACAAATGTAGGGAGCCAATGTAGAGGTGGGCCTGGTGGCCTTGGGACAGGATCATCATTGATCGGCTAATCATCGAGGTATATATACCTACGTGACTTTACCGAAAGAACCAAAGAGTATGGATTCCTGCAGTCACGAAAGCTTCAAATCAAGATTGATCGGCTACTTGGCCCGAACCTCACAAGAGACGGGGAGTAGGTTGCGGTGATCTGGCGATACCAAAGATCGATGGCACGATGCGACGTGTGTATTGTACGTTTCGCAACATATCTTCATGTTGTGATGATCGATTCTGAAATCAAACGAGCGCCCCATTCGTCATCTGGACGTTGCTGCTCCAGCCAGCCAGCCAGCAACACTTGTCTTCTAATATACCGTCGTATGATATTTTATTGGCCAACAAAACGTTTATTAAATAGCAACAATTAAAAATTCACGATAATAAATACATTAAAAAATAGAAACGTTATCCCTGACACGCATGACAATTCGTGGAGCGTCTCACTGCAGCATGCTTGTCGCGAGGTCTCCATTCCCGTCGCTGATTGCCCTCATTAATTTAGCAGTTGACCGTGCGGAGTGTGAGCGTTCCAGGTTGTACATTTGCAACGATGCTCAGTGAACAGAATTTTTCAGCAATCTCTACTCGCACCAGAAGTGCATCAAAGCACCAACAATTAAAAAAATGTTCATGAAACACAATTAAAAAGTTATTGGGGACTGATATCGTGATTGTCGTCATTGCATGAATTGTATATCGTATCGTATCGAGAGAACTGATGTCGCCACAACGCCACTTGTGAATGTGAATTGTGCTGACTCGGCAATGACAGCACAGGAAAGACATAAGAGACAAAGCTCCCCCGTATAGCCTCAACAGACTGCTTGGGCAAGTGCTGTCAGTGAACACCGATGAAGGCCGGCCCAGTGGCACTCGAGGGGTTCGATGGTGAGCACCACGCCCGGGCGGCCTTTGTCTCCCCATGTGGCGATGTTTACACATCGCAGCAGGTACTCATTTGAGGCTGAGTCGACCTAGAGGAGGCCCAGGACCAGTTCAGATAATCATCACTGGTGTTGTTGGCTGTGAGCGGGAACACGAACTCGGGTCGCCGGGTTCGGAGTGCGAAGAATTATATCCACATCTAGAAAAGCATCATATAATAGCGCAGCGTACCGACCGCTGCCTACAGACAAACGTGGCCGCACTCTCTGCTGTCAATAATTCGTGGTCCAGGAGAGGGCACTGATGTATCGAGCTGATGGCACCAAAATAGACACGGAGTCTCTGCCTGGCAGGGTGATTTGTACGCATCGGCACTAACTGTGGCCACAGGGAGCCTTATGACTCAGGGAGGCGTGCATGCGATGCCACGGTGTGTATGCAACTGAGTGTACGGTACACGTGTGCGTGCGGTGTGTAGATATGGAGAGCGGCAGTGTAGCCGTGAGCGAGACCCGAGTTCATTTCAGTTTCATTCAATTTGGTAGAGCCCTGTGAGCCATGCGGCTCTTGACTCGGGTGCAACCGCAACGAACAAAAACATGAACAAAGAACATCTTCAAGTGTCTACGCGCAACACCGGTGACGATTATCGGAACCGGTCCTGGGCCTCCTCTATGTCGACTCGGCCTCAAATGAGTGCCTGGTGCGGTGTGTAAACATCGCCACTGGGGAGACAAAGGCGGTCGTGCGCGGTGTTGGCCACCCGCCCCCTCGTGTGTCGTGCCGGCCTTCACTAGGTGCTCGCTAACAGCACTTGCCCCTACAGTCTGTTAAGGCTACACGGGGGATATTTGTCTTTGTCTGTGTGTCTATAATGACGGCTCGGAATGCGTGCGCAGAGTGCTTGACACTGGATCCCACTGGCAGCAGAGATATAATTCACAAAATAAAAGATGCAAAAGGCCATTCGGCCCCTTTAAATAAAACACGTGACATTTGACCAATTCTAGTCCTGTATATTAAAAATATATATTTACATATTACGGTTTAAAAATTGTAATTCACAATTGCCCTCTCGGATGATGGTTAAAATGACATTAATTATATATATGCATGTTTGCCACTTAATAATATAGTGTCCTCCATATATATATCGATCATCAGCCATGTTTCATCCACAGCTGGATGAAGGCATCCCAAAGATATTGTCTTTAAATCCTGCAATGTACCAATCCATATAGAGATACCCCACTGTGGGAAAAATATAGAGAAGATCACGTTTTAAACCAAAGCCTCCACGTGTCTCCCACCAATCTCATTACACCCATTACATCTTTTAGCACTTGCTCCTCTGTAAGATGTGGAGCCATCGCTTTCATCGTATACACAATATTCCATCATCGGTTGAGAAGAAGCACGAAGGGTGGAGGGGGTGATTAGAAATCAGTGGGAGGGGGGGGTGGCTGTAAATGGATCACCCGGAATTTCAATTCTGCCATTGATTCGTGAACACATGAGCAGTGGCACTTGGGCAGAGTTGGACCGCAGGACCCCTTTGCGCTCTCAAACCGGGCCCACTGGGGGTGCATCTTACATGGTCCACGGAGCTGATTTCATGGGCACGACAAATCAACCTCACTGCCAAAAACACAAAAATATTTTTTTAAAAGGACAAATATACCAATAGCATTTCAGCGTAATATCGTTCCAGTCGACAACACGGCAGTACTGATCACCAGAAATGCACCCGATCGTGTCAGATCTTGGGAGGCTAAGCAGGGTGAAGCCTGGATAGTGCCTGGATGGTTTAAAACAGGTACTGTAGGCTGCTGTGGGCCTGCGTTGTCAGCAGAGGGCAGTGCTGCTGTGCTGTATTCACCGCGTGAGCCAGGGTGGTGAAGCATGGCCCAAACAACCCCCGAGACCCGCACGACGCGCCGAGGCCATCGCGAGAGTGACCCTTGAGGTTGCTGGGTTTTTAAACGAGCAATTTGTCCTCCGCGAACGGTGAACTCATTCCTGCCTCGCGATTGAGTATGTGCCTCTCAGCGTTAACGGTCTCTGGCAACCCGCTCACGAAGAGCAGCACAGTTGACCAGGGTGCGATTATTTCATGTCGGGGGGGGGAAGGGGAAGGGTTATTTTATTCTCGCGATTGCTATTTTGATTGTCGCCCACAGAGAAGATAAATGTGTCCCTCCCGGCAGATAAAAATGTTGCATTGGCGATGTCAGGGTTGATCCAGGTCAGTACTTGAACGGGAGACTGATTAGGACTGGCTGCAAGTTGGTCGGGAGATGCGAGTGTGCCAATGGGTTCTTGAATCTAACTCCGTGGAGTTTTGAGTGCTACGCGTGGCGATGCGTGGAGGGTGTTCTCCGATCTCCTCTCACCACAATAAGCCAAGCACTCATTAATGGAATTCAAAGTCACGGTAACTTTTTGCTCAAATGAGCATTGAGGTGGTACTCGACTCCTGTCTAAAGCCCTACGCCATTGGTGGATACTCCATCTTTCTATGGTGGGGGCAAGTCGATCCATAGGACAACTACCGTTGACATTCCCACAAGTGGAACGATGGGCCCAGTCAACTCCCCCAACCAGGATTTGAACCCGCAACCTTCTGAGCGCGAGGCGCTCGCTCAACCGCTTAGCCACCTGACCAGATTCATGGAACCGGCCAAACTAAATCATCCCCCACCCACCCCCCACCCCACCACTATAAACGTTACAAATCGCACCCCCCGGTCACTATAAACCACCCGTGGACTCTCCATCTGCCACCTCTTTCCCAATGAATCCCAGCAGCCTCGTGTGCCGAGAGAGGACCGCGGTGAATACATTCAACTTGAAATATCCTAAAATTGGGTCTTGAAAAACATTTCCAACCGAGCGCAGCACCGGCGTTCATCTCGAAGGCTGCCGGCGAAATCTCTCCTCCCAGGCGTCTAAATTGCTCTCCAGGGGAAAAGGCAGCGGAGATTCAGCGGTTCACAAAGGGGACGCCCCGTTCCGCGAGAACGGAACGATGAACCAGCGCTTGCTTCCGTCCCTGGCGACGCGGCAAAGGCAGCAATAACGTCGGAGCATGACCTCCGCCGAGCCGGCGCTCGCGTGGCCGCAGCTCCTCGCATCCTCCTCCCCGCACGCGCCGCGGCGCTGCTCCAGAGACGCTCGCTCATCGTCGCCGGGCTGGGCCCGCGTCATCCCTTTGCGCCGCCCGCTCCGGTCCGCACACGTGCGCCCATCGCCCGGACCGCCCGCGTAACCTTTTGAACGTTCTGCGCGGCGCCGCGGCCGGTAACTGGGCTTCCCGCGGGAAGCGGGCGGGCGTCCGTCCGTGGTGGCGGACCGGATTCTAAAGTTCCGTAGGAGGGGTGGGAGCGTCGGCGAGAGCGGGAGCTCCCCTCTAAGTTGTCGCTGGCGGAGGGGGCACGTTGAAGCCCACTCTCACATTCGCCGCTTTTGCTGCCCCTGCAGCTTCAGGAGTCCGCGGGTGTGAGCTCCACCTGTCGCTCAGCTGCCTGATGATGGTCGCCAGGTCTTCGGTGTTGTGGGATTTTTCCTCTAGAAGCTCGTAGCGGAGGCTGGAGATGTCCTGCTTGATGTCCTTGAGCTCGCCTGCGGAGGGGCACGGGGGCAGATTGTCAGAATCGGAATCAGAATATTTATTTAGACTGCAGGAGGAATCCGATGAGCTGTGAAGCTCTTTACCATAGATATCCAATCGGGGCGGGGGTTAGAACGTCACAACAACAAACGATACAAAATAAGCACGCGGTATAACGGCGGCGGTCCTGCACATGGCGAATACGCGAATCGGAACTGTCGTGAACTGAAACCAGCTCCCGCATTGTACCCACCTTCGTTGACCTCGTCGTTCTCCTTGTCCGACTGGGCCTTGAGGATGTATCTTTAATTAGGCGCCGCATGATTTTCTGGAAGGGTGACAAAAAAAGAATGAACGATCGTTCACGGGAAGTTTTTACAGTGACTATACCACGCAATAATATTCATAATAATAATATAAACCACCTTGCCTTCAATGCACAGCGAGGCACTTTACAATACAGATAAATGAAACACCCATATGTAATCCATTAATGTTGAACGTATACAAATTAGGTGGCTGAGAATATAATGAATATAACACAACAACAGGTTTGGGCAGAACAGCTTGGTGTTGAACAAGTGAGATATCTCTTCATAATGAAGGTTTTTGGGGTTAGATCGCGTAAGTATGAAATGTTAACACTTCTAAGAATTTTCAACGACACCACAAGAAATGTGCCTCATCCGGGCTCTGGAGATCACCTGGAGAAGATTCCAAGGCACGCGTTGACTACGATGGCGAACAAGTGGAGACTCTTTGGCTTTTTGAAGCTATTAACATACATTTGTTATCATGTGACGGTGTATTATCCGTTCTTTTTCCATTAAAAACGATAGTCCCATATAAGTGTTAAAACATTTTTGAAGCACCCTGTGTGTGTACAGATGCAATGTGTTCTCCTACAACGCGGTCGCCGCATTCCTGAAGAACACCGCCTGGGGAAAATCGCGTTACAATGTATAACGTGGGGTAAAGCAGAGTCTGCGTTAAGCCATGAGATGCGTACGCAGGCTGGATAAAGACCGAGGCGCGTGGATAGCATCTAGAATGATCCAGCAGCATCCCACTGCCTTTATTATACTATACAGAGGCAGCTGTACAACCGCTTATTCCCACTCACACGACATAGTTTCGTTGATTCAACCGCGTTATATCCAATTCGCATTCCGCGTTATCAAAAAAAATGTGTTCCCTAATACATTAATCGCGTTATATCCAATTGGCGTTATGAAAACACCACGACGAGTTCCAGTAGAACAGCCGCCTGTACTTATCTAGCAGCCGAGTAAAGTGGCAAGGGCTTGACCTGGTAGCGGCTGGGCTGGCTCGAGATGCTGTTGCCTCTGCTGGTGCCGATGCTCGGGACGCTGGGACCCTGGCTCTGCTCCTGGGGTTGCCGGGCGAGAGGCAGGGGGAGCACACGGAGAGCGGAGCACCAGAGGTAAAGGCGCAGCCCTGCAATTAGCTGCTCAAAGTCAGAGGAAGCTCTACAGGGCAGTGTCTCCCACAGGGGGGCCACTTTCGCCGATGAGAAGACATCAGTGTGAGGGCCCGCACACCGCCCGCACCGGGTGTTATCGCTCTCTGTGCATTGTCAGGGGTCGCACTGAAGGCCACCAGAGGCCGCCAGTGGCCCGCGGGCCTTGCAGTGAAGAACGCTGCCCTAGAGAGGCCCTAGAGAGGCCCTCGAGAGGGAATTTGGCCTGCTCCTTCACGCTGCCCCAGGCGTCTTGGAAGAGGTGGGGGCACCCACGCTTGACCCCACCACAGGTGACGTGCCAGTCAACTGCAAGTGCTGTACCCACTTACATTAGCGGGCTGACACGAGGCCTCACTCAATAAAATTAATGCCGAGCCTCTTGCGCGTTCCGAGATTCAGTGGTGCACGGGACGCCCACCCCGCAACTTGCTGACGTCCAGGAACAGGGCAGGGTTATAAGAAGGTACAAACGTCGTGCGTATTGAGGGACAATTCTATATGCACGGCAAACCGTTCGTTTTCAACTGGTTCGTGGAAATGCAGCGAAGTAAATGCACATGTCCACATACACGTGCACCCCGTGCTCTCTTTTAGCCCCGCCCCCCCCCCCACTTCCAATACGCTATCATGTGCAATAACAGTGACTTGCGCACAAACACGTCCACGTCGACGCCTACGAGCACCTCGTGCTCTCTTTTAGCCCCGCCCCCCCTCCCGATACGTTCCATTCATTGGCTACCACATTCTGATAAGCTCCCCCCCCCCTCCTCCCCCTTAACTTGTATTTAAGAGCTTGCATCTTGGAATCCCTGCCTCACTTGATGCATCAAATCTGGCCGTGACGGTCCCACCTGATGACGGAGACTTGTGTTGCCTCCGAAACGTCGTTATTTTATTATTTTTATTAATTTTAATTTCATTTTTTACCTACGTGACTTCACCGAAAGAACCAAGAGTATAAAAGAGAGATAAACGGCCGCCGGGGGATTGGGAGGCGAAGCGGCGCCGCTGACCTCGACGTCGGCCGCCCACCGGCCGCCCCGGCGGAGGCCGGCGAGCCGAGTGGCGCAGCGGGACAGGCGCTGCAGGCCGTAGAGCAGCGACTTGGGGCTGGGCACGAGGTTGAAGGGCACGGGCAGCGTGCGGCCCTCCTCGAAGTACGAGATCCACAGCTTGGCACGCGCAAACTTCCACTCGACGTCGGCGTCGTCCTGCCGGGCGCGGGGGGGACAAAGAGCGTTGGGTTGTTTGCGGCTCATGCCACGCTTTACAACTGCGCGCGTTCACTCGGAACATCGCCCTGCGATGGTTACTTTTCTTACAAACACATTTGGCTAAGTATGTCAAACAGTAATGGTAGAGCACGTATATATATAAAAAAACATAGCATTATTTTTAATGAAATATATATATTTATTATCTTAAAATCTCGATTCAAAACTCATTTCTTTAGAACTGCTTCTTGTGTTTAGTTTGTTGTCCTTCTCCCGCACCTCCGATTGTCGCGGTTGGCTACGTACGGTGCGAAAGAAGTTCAACGTACGTACGTACATTACCGCCGTGCTCATGATTCATAGCAAGGAGTCAGGACTCACCAGAGGCGGATCTCGAAACTTCCCAAGCAGGGGGTTAGTAGGTGAGAAGTCCCGAAGTGGCAAGCTTTGTAAACCCACGGATTCTCTCTGATAACCATCAACGAAACACAAATTGTCTCTCCCCCATCGCCACCCCCCCCCCCTACTTGAGATCCACCAGTGGGAGGGCGACACCGATGCCCCCCGCGGTACCTCGATCTCCTGGTAGGAGCTGTTGATCATGGCGATGAGCATGTTGAGCAGCACCACCACCATGGTGACGTTGTAGATGCCGAAGAGCACGTAGCCCGTGTTCTCGATGAACTTGTGGTTGTACTTGATGACCACCGAGTCCACACCCGAGAGGCCAAAAATGGACCAGAAGAGGGTCTTAAAGCTCTCCTCCACCCTGCCACGTAGCACCACATCATTGGGTGTGTGTGGGTGTGTGCGCGCGAGTGCGTGTGTGCGTGGATGCGTGTGTGTTTGTGTGCTTAGATCACCCGGCCTCAAATGAGCACCTGGTGCGGTGTGCCACAGTGCTGGCCTTCATAGGTGCTCGCTAACAGCACTTGCCCCAACAATCTGTTGAGGCTACACGGGGGATCGTTGTCTTTGTGCGCGCTTAGGGTGTCTGGTTTGCCCGTAACTGCCAACAATTGACATTTCTGAACGGTCCCATTAAATGAACCATCTGTAACTCCGCGGGGCGGCTCAGTGTCGTCGTGGTTAGCGCACTGCACTGTGGACCCAGCGAGCTGAGTTTTAATCAACGGTTTTATTTAACTTTACTTGTGTTTGTCGTGGTCAAATCTTGTCATCAAAAGTTAGTCTACTTCCTGTTGTCCAATCAATTTCAAATTGTGCACACGTACTAAGATCCGGTGACAATGCATGCCTGTATCGGCATAAATTCATCAATTATTGCCTCCTTTCAAGCAATTGCAATTTTTGTATGGACGCCTCATTATTTATATATATTTGTGTAGGTCAGAATCGGCTCACACAAGAAGCATGCGCCGCGTGTCTCAGGCGCCATTGACGTACTTCTCGACTATAAAGATTTTTTATGTTACCAGGTAAGGCCCCCTGAGCTACGTAGCTCTTTTTCGGAAGCGACCTATGTCCACAAATGACAGCTCAACGAAGTGGCTTATCGCGTGGAGATTTATAGCAGCCAAATACCCTGAACGCGTGATGTTGATTCTAAATGTGGAGGGAAAAATCGGGGGACCCGGAGAAAAATCCACGCCAACACAGGGAGAACATGCAAACTCCAGATATGCAGGCGTCAGGGTCAGGATCGAACCCACGACCTGCCGTATACCAGGCGAGGACGTTAACATCTCCTGATCACTGAGGCCCCTCTCCCCTACGCCACGGTCACCGTTCGTCTACTCACGTGACGAAGGCCTGGTTGCACTTGGCGTCGCGGTAGTAGGAGTAGAGGTTGAACATGCCGATCATGAAGGCCACGAACACCATGATGAAGATGACCATGAACTTGAGGATGTCCTTCACGGTGCGCCCCAGGGAGATCTGCAGAGGGCCCAGACTCTCGTTGGCCGGGAGGATGTAGGCGATGCGCGAGAAGCTCAGCACGATGGCAATGGCGTAGAGGCCCTCCGAGATCAGCTGGGGGTCAGAGGGCACCCAGCGGCTTCTAGCTGCTTGGGGAAACGAGGCGAGAACCACCGCCACTGTTTTTAAATCGAGCTTCAACCAATCAAATCGATGCTTGCGTGTACGGCGGAGCGCGTCGAAGCAATGGCTGTTGGGGCATCCCAGATTGCGCTGGGATAAAATTAAGTTTACATGGATGGCCAACACTTATGTATAATACAATATTTAAGAGGTAAAATATGATCTTTTGACTGACCCACTGGTAGTTTTGAGTCATGATGCCAATGAGTTATGAAACAGAAAAAACACTCTGCCTCATCTGACAAAGTTCAAATTACAAATTTCCGTTTTGAACACGTGGTGCCTAAAATATAAACGACCGATCGTAACCCACCCGCAGTGTTTCTAGGAAGCATTTTGAACTGACACATATACACGCCGTATATATAAATCGTAGTATAACAAGAGCACTGCATTGAGAATTAGCTGTCAGGCAGCCATAAGTGATGAATGGGTGTGCGTTGCTACTGGCAAATGATGGAGCGCGGGGGGGGGGGGGGAGAACACGATAAACAATTGAGCGCTTATATTTGCTCGCTCATGTCAATTGTTATTCCATTTCCACGAGAACGCCGGGAGGGTGCTCGTTCGCGATTTGGAAGCTGGGGGCGCGAGCTGCCGACGTCGCGCCACGGAGAACTTTAATCTGCAGGACGAAACCGCACGGCGGTCGCGGCCCCCTCTCCTGGTCCTCTGTGCGCGGAACGATGAACCCTCCCCTGGCTGTTCCATTAAACACCGAGATTTGGGGGTTCTCGATTTTATATTTGTTTTTACCTTCTCGTTAGTACAATGTTGACCGCTCCGTTCGCCTAAATGTGACATTACATTATGACATCGTTCCCCATTGGAACCTCCTTTGCCATGCTTACCCCGAGCTCTCATACTCTGATGGTGCATTGTCTTTGAGTTGTGCGCCTTTTGGCGTCATCTGGTCCAACACCATGTGAGACTAGGCTCTAAGAAAAGCTGTCTCGAGTGTGGACCAATCAACTTCAAGGACAGTGCATACATTATCAGAGTTGTGTTATTTGTTTGCATTCCGACTGCAGGTATTGTGGTCAATGCAAACATGACTCCTTGTAAAAAAAAAGGTGTCAGTTTTGTTGGCAGATAAAAGGGTAAAAAAACAATTATAATATGACATCGTTGTCATGAACTCATGTTATGCACGTGCTGTGAGCATAATAATGGAGGGTGGTAAGTCTACAAAACACGTGATTTCAGTAATAGCAGTAACAAGGAGACAACGCAAATTTTGTCAGAGTATGCATGGGTTTTCCTGTTAACAGCGTTTTATAGTTCATATCATGACGTTGTTTCTGCTCGTGTGTTGCCTTCAGTGACATCATTCGTTTGTGGAATTGCCGTGCGATACAATTGTATTAAGAGATTCACGTGTTAGGGGAAATCGCCTGCCGTCCCAACCATCCCGGCTACAGCTCCTCCACACAGAAGGTGCAAATTCTTCCAGATTTCACATCGTGGAGAAACTGGCATCATCGCCGGAGCCCAGCTCTCTCACCCCGCCCTACCCCTACCACTACCCTTACCACTACCCCTGCCACTATCCCTACCACTACCCCTGCCACTACCCCTACCACTACCCCTGCCACTACCCCTGCCACTCTCCCTGCCACCCGACCATGCTCACGATTTCTGATTTATTCCACCGTGTGTGACGAGCGCCTGTGCACGCATACATGCCACACACACGCACATATACACACACATACACACACACACGCACGCCACGCACACGCACATACACACGCACACACACACGCACACACACACATGCACGCCACACACATGCACATACACACGCACGCACGCCACACACACGCATATACACACACGCCACGCACGCCACACACACGCACACACACACACATACACACGCGCACGCCCCATACACGCACATATACACACACATACACACACACACGCACGCCACACGCACATACACACACGCCACACACATGCACACACACGCACACACACACACGCACGCCACACACACGCATATACACACACACACGCCACGCACGCCACACACACGCCACACACACGCACATACACACACACACGCCACGCACGCCACACACACGCACGCACACGCACATACACACACGCCACACACATGCACACAAACGCACACACACACACGCACGCCACACACACGCATATACACACACACACGCCACGCACGCCACACACACACACGCATATACACACACACACGCCACGCACACGCACAAACACACACACGCACACACACACACACGCACGCCACACACACGCACATACACACACACACGCCACGCACGCCACACGCACGCCACACACACGCACATACACACACACACGCCACGCACGCCACACACACGCCACACACACGCACATACACACGCACACGCCACGCACGCCACACACACGCACGCACACGCACACACACACGCGCGCCACGCACGCCACACACGCGCACGCCACGCACGCCGGGTGTAGTAGTCGATCTCGTCCGGGAGGTGGGCGCCGGAGAGGCTCCCCACGACCTGCGTGTCCACGTAGAGCTGCGCCCTCGAGGCCTTGAGCAGCGCGACAAAGCGCACCGTGTACGACGCCACGAAGATGGCCAGCATGGCGAAGTCCAGCAGGTTCCACAGCTGCAGCAGGTACTCCTTTGGGCCCTCGGTCCACAGCTCCTTACACTCGGCCCACAGCATGCCTGGACCCGCAACGCCAAGGGTGGAATATTTTCGCATTGGAAACAAAACGGTTGGCGTGTCGCTTCCCCACGTATATTCCATCGCCAACGAGCAAATCGGAGAGAGTCCGCGACCCAAACCCTGATCTCTAAAACTGGCGGGCAAACTAAGTTTTGCCTCTCCTCCACATCGACCGCTAAACACAAATTAAAGTCATCGGCACCGCACGCGGCGAACGCCTGGAAAAACAACGGCGGGGATCAATGCGCTCCCAACAGTGGAGGTAAATTAAAGCTTCAAATCGATACCCATCATCTCCTTTTTGATGTAGAGTTTAATAAATAAATACATCTTTATTTATTTGGTTGGGAAGCCAAATGCCGCGTCGGATATCCTGGGGTTCAAGAACTTACGATGGAATATTTACGGATTTTGGCAAACGACGAACGGTTTAGGGGCAGCAGCGAGCACGCGCTGCTTTGTGATGAGCGACGCGCCAACGCTGCCGCCGTCGGAGCTCGCAAGAGGCGTGAACGGCTTGAAAAGCGTCAACGCTGCACCACAAATCTAGCAATGAGGTGGCCTTAGCGGATCAAGGAAGCCAACGTGTGCACAAGACATCGGCCCACAAGGAAACAGCGCCTCCTGAGATTGCGAGGTGGCCAGGAGATGGCAGTACAGCAACGAATAGAAGCCATCTGTGTGGAGTTTTTGATGCTGTTTCCTCGTGAGAGCAACTGGCCAAACACCCCAACGCAGGACTCCACTAAGACAGAATGTCGACAAAGAGGTTTCCTGGCTCCAGAGCGTTGTTATGATTATTTGACGAATTCCCTAATGGGTAATGTTACATGAACAATGAAACTGTGGCCAGAGATAAGGGTGCAGGCCTGCAATTTCTCGCTCACACCACTGCTGGCAGAAGGGCCTGCATTAGAGGCAGCTGTAGAGAGCCCCTCTAGAGGGTATTTGGCCTACTCTTCCACGCTGACCAGACGTTGTGGAACAGGTGAGAGTAGCCACACTTGAAGCCACTACACGTGACCTGCCGAATCGACCGACTGTGAAGAGAACACGAAACGCAGCTGAAATGAAATCTATATTTTGACGTAAATGAAAAAAAAAATTGACGACATATAACTGCCATATTTACATTTTGTGTCGGGGCAGCTGCCTCTACTGCCTCCCCTGGGCACGCCTCTGTGTCGTCACGGCCTTGAGAAATGGGGCGCACTATGGGAATAGCATCTACCCCTACCGAGAATCCAGAGGAGGATGAGCATCTCGGTGCAGGAAGAGCAGCTACCCATATACCCGTCTACCCATCTACCCATCTACCCATCAACCCATCTACCCATCTACCCATCTACCCATCAACCCATCTACCCATCAACCCATCAACCCATCTACCCGTCTACCCATCTACCCATCTACCCATCTACCCATCAACCCATCTACCCATCTACCCATCAACCCATCAACTCATCTACCCATCTACCCGTCTACCCATCTACCCATCTACCTGTCTGCCCCTACCGAGAATCCAGGCGAGGATGAGCATCTCGGTGTAGGAGAAGGTGGTGGTCTTGACGCGGAAGAGCTGGCGGGGGTGGTCAGTCCGCGTCTCGTTGGGCAGGAAGGGCGCTCCCTCGAAGCGGTCGGACGCGTTGACAATCAGCAGGCCCAGGAAGACGGAGAAGGAGCAGGCGTGGGCCACGAACTTCATGAAGGGGCTGCGCAGCACCCGGCCCAGCTGTGTCCACGCGCGGTGAGAAACACCTTCAACAATCCCATCCGCTGGACACCTCGCAGCAGCCCAAACCTACGACGCCCGGCGCTAACCAGGCGGGCTGCCGTCCGTGCGTGCGCTAACGAGGCTCGTGCCTGCTTCACTTCGGGTGCCATTATTGAGGAGCGATTTTGGATCAGAACTGGGCTCACGGGGCCTGGATCACGGTGGCCATGGAAACGCGGCAAAACAGAGCAGGGAAAGATAAATCATTAAATATGCTTGGATTATGTAAAACTTTCCAACCGTATTCACGCCAGCCTTGGTAGCAGTAAGTCTGTTGGCTGCGATGAGAGAAGGGGGCTGAGGGAGGATGCATCCTGGGCGGTAAGGCCGGGGCACCACGCTGGCTGCTTTTAGCGCTGGTGTGTTTGTGTGAACTTTAGGAAACCCCTTGATGATCAATTAGTCCCGAGTGACCACGCAACATGATGCTAAAGTTCACTTCATATTGAGACCACCTATTTGAGGGTTATGATGCCCACCACCACCACCCCCGTCCCCCGCCACAGACGGACGGATCTAATGCGTGGTTGGGCCGCGTGAGCGTGAGCGCGACAAGGAGCGCTGGCGGCGACAGCGGCGGCGGTGGTGCCCCACGTACCCGGCTGCACGGCGCCACCCAGTAGGCGAGCGCCAGGAGCGGCATGCACAGCGCCACCCCCAGCACCACGAGGCACTTGACCCCCACGGAGCGCTGCCGGAGCCCCGAGACGTCCTCGTACCAGATGGAGAGCAGCTGCTGCTGACAGTTGGGGTGCGCCACAAACTGCACAGCCACGTTGTTGCGCTCATCAGCATCGTCGTCGTCATCATCATCATCATCATTGTCATCATCATCAAGATTGTTATTATTATTATAATCAATATTATTATTCCTACGATGGTCATCGTCAAGACTGTTATGGTCACCATAGTCTTGATCATATTCATCATCAACATTATTATCATCTCCATTGTGGTGATTATGATTATTATCATCATCATCGTTGAGATTATCACGGCCAACGTCAGTAGACCGACAAAGAGCCGTAAGGTGTTGTTATTATTATCCATGTGTCTGTATGTGTGTGTGTATGTGTGTGTATGTGTGTGTGTGTATATGTGTGTGTGTATATGTCAAGATCGGCCTCTGTGGAGGAGGCTCGTGAAGGATGCTACTGGGCAGTGGGAGGCAGTCGCCCTCCAACAACAACGGAGGGCGGAGGAGCGACGCTCACAACAACGAGCGGAGCACCGGGTGGCTAAAGCACAGCAAGTTGGTACAGTAGGAGGCACAGGTGGTGCATCAGCCAGTCATCTCGGTCATCTCGGTCAGTCGACCCGTGGCACCTGCTGGGTCTGCCCCGTGACCTCCTGCCAGCGGACTTTCGACACTTCACGTGGCCTCAAGGTGCACATGGCCTGGCACAAGCATCGTGGTGACGTCACCGCCACTTAGTGGCGAATGGCGGTTGTTGTTGTTGTATGTGTGTGTGTATGTGTGTGTGTATGTGTGTGTGTATGTGTGTGTGTGTTGTACATTCGCGACGGCTGTAGCCACAAGTCGCCGTCCGCGTAGGCTCACCCACCTTCTTCACCTCAAACTTGATGGACAGCTTGAGGCGGCTGAGTGTGGGCCGCCACTGCCGCCGGCTCCTCTGCAGGGGCAGCGACGTCGCCGGGCCCCCCTGGGCCGCCTCGGTGGTGGTGGCGGCGACGCCGTTGAGGATGGCCTCCACCTCCTCCGTGTCGCGGCACAGGTCCAGTAGCCCCACCACGAAGTCCTTGCACTGGCCCGAGAGCTTCTTGTAGTCGTTCTGCACGCGCACCAAGAGGTCGAATTTCACCCGGCACGCAGTGGGGGGCTTTTTCGCGACCAATGTCATTCGAGATCGAGTTTTTTTTTTCTTTCGGTTAGATCACGTCAATGTAAATGTGCCGTCAAGCCCGCCGCCACCCGACGCGGCCAATTCGTAAGGTTTGTCACGTGGACAAAACGTGCCGATTAGCTATTGCTGCAGAATATCGGTGCGACGATGAGTAAACCCACAAAACTCACAATTCAGTGCGACGTCTCGCTGGTGATTACAACCAGCTTCATCGGGCGATTTGGCAAAATTGTGAGGAAGTTATTCCTGATTTCAGTCTTAAAAGAGCGAGATTATGTCATCACCGTGAGCCTATCAGGTGCAAAGATCAGTGGGGCGTTTATTGTAATCACATACATTACAATGGACTGTTAATCTGAAGATATGCAGGACATATGGTACTTCCAGATGGGCTCATCACAATGCATCACTGTGAGCTGTTAAGTATTTGTTATTTATCTGTTATTTTATTTCTGTTATCATTCCTCTTCGCCCCGTACTGCAAACCCTCACCAGTGCATATTCCACACGTCCTCGTTTCACAAAAACAAATACATATAAAACGTATTTTGCAAGCAGATTCTTAGCTGCAAATCGTCCGGTTGTTTGTACCGATCCCCGAATCTCATGCATCCCCGAGACCGATGCTAAGAGCCCTCAGGGTCTGCTGTTTTGTATTGAAATATTCCACTCTGGCCGACGATTCATCTGCCGCGAGCGTTCCTAATTAATTGCGTTTGAAGATTTATTCCCATTTTATGGGTTGGACAATTTCAAGAATTAATGAACATTTTTTTTTTATGGCCGAATGATATATTTAGGGTTTTTTTTCCTGCCAAAGACGACATGACCCGGAATGCACCCGGTCTCAACTGACCCAGTAAACTAAAGGAGAGTAGCGGCTGGATAGGGCGAAAACGGGCTACCACCACCACCACGACTCGGGGTTGTGTGGTCAGCAGAGGGCAGTGCGGACACATCTCCTCTCTTCCCATCCCATCTCATCCCATCCATTCTCATCTCTTCTCATCACATCTCCTCTCTTCTCCAGAGTGCGGCCACGGAGTCACGTGTGGCTCTCTAAGCAACACGGCCGCTGCCGCGTCGTGTACATCACCACCATCACCACCACGGTGCATTGCGCCTCACCAATTCCAAACAACAAGACAACGTCTCTCCTTGGCGTGCTGGCTGCTGACCCCTAGATAAGGCCGTCCTGCTGTGACTCCCTGCCCCGCTACCACTACCCCGATCACTACCCCTATCACTACCCCTACCACTAACACTACCACTACCCCTGTCACTATCACTACCCCTATCACTACTCCTATCACTACCCCTATCACTACCCCGACCACTATCACTATCACTACCCCTATCACTACCCCTACCACTAACACTACCCCTGTCACTATCACTACTCCCATCACTACCACTACCCCAACCCGTAACACTACCCGTCCTGAACCACCTGTTCTCCTGCCACCATCACTGCACCACCACTTTTAACGGCAACAACAACAGCCCCACTCTTAAATCTCCACCACTTATCGTCCTTCACGTTCAATCATTCAATCGCCGCAAAGCGCCTCGGGGTACGAAGGCGCCAGATACATCTGGACAGGATGAGATCCGACATAGTCGTTGCCCTGCCGCCACAACACCACAGCACCACAACACAACAACACAACACCTGCTGCCACAACACGTGCCGCCACATCACCTGCCGCCACAACACAACACCACAACACAACAACATAACAACACCACAACACAACACCACCGACTCGCCACACTCGAGAGAGACACCCCGCATGCAGCCCCGGACTCCACCTGGAGGAATCATCAACAAGAAGAAGTGTCCATCACGCGCAGGCGCAGTCCGAGACGCGCAAATCTCAAACGACGACGCTGCGGCAGTATGTGCAACGAAAAACAAACGTTGAGCTTCGATTTAAAGCTTTCGTGACTGCAGGGATTCATCTTATTTGTTCTTTCGGTAAAGTCACGTAGAAGGGAAATAATAAAATAAAAACATAATAAAATATTATATTATTATTTTATTATGTTTTATTTTTATTATTTTATTACTTCCATTCTACGTGACTTTACCGAAAGAACCAAGAAGATGAAACGTTAAGTTGTATATTTACATGCGTTGTTTTCCTCTCTGACGTTTGATTGTTGTGTATTCTGTACTTGTACACTGCCCGCAGAGTGTGCGCGCGCGTGTTAACGCGTTGGCGATGTCGTCATTTGTTTATATCGTGTACGAGTGAACTGCTTTGTGAACCCGTGCTAACAACGCGCGTGCGTCTTCTACGCGGCGCGTAAGAACCGGTTCAAGCGCGATTCACGTCCTCGATGGCACTCGGCCGGAGACGATTATCGGTGTTCTCGCCGCGCCGGGTAAAACCGCGGCGTTGTGAATTGGGGTGTTCAGCGATACTCGCACGGCGCGACAGCACACGGGCACTGGTACGGTACCTACGGATACCGGGGTTCCTCTGCAATCACTACAATACGTGTGCAATGACAATAGAGCCTGCACGCGGTGTGACGGGACTAGTGGCCACGGGAGGTAATGACAGGGGAGTCGACCTGCAGTACGAGTGGACTAGTGGCTATTGGAGGTAATGACAGGGGAGTCAGTTGTGAGTGCGAAGGGACTGGTGGCCACGGGAGGTAATGACAGGGGAGTCAGTTGTGAGTGTGAAGGGACTGGTGGCCACGGGAAGTAATGATAGGTGAGTCGACCTGCAGTACGAGTGGACTAGTGGCCATGGGAGGTAATGACAGGGGAGTCAGTTGTGAGTGTGAAGGGACTGGTGGCCACGGGAAGTAATGACAGGGGAGTCAGTTGTGAGTGCGAAGGGACCAGTGTCTACGGGAAGTAATGACAGGGGAGTCAGTTGTGAGCGCGACGGGACTGGTGGCTACGGGAAAGATCGAGAAGGGAGCGTGGTCAGGTGACAGAAGAGGACAGTGGAGTCTGCCAGCAGAGGGAGCGTCCAGAGTCAGCGAGAATGATGGAGAAGGGGGGCGTGGCATCGTGTTGGTATATAAGGGGGAGATGCGCGGGAGACTCGGGGCTGTTGCAGTGGAATCTCTGCCTGATGTCAAGTGAACGCGTCTTCAATGAAGTGCCATCTCCAGAGAAGTGTGTCAAATCGTCATTACACGTGTACAAACTTTATCAAAGCGCGTCCGTTTCGGTAAAGGACGATAATATTTAAAAACTGCCGTGTCCACCGCTGTGTATTTCCTTATGTGCTGCGACGAGGGGTGATTGATGGTTGATGGTGGTGGTGCTCGACTCGGTAGTCCACCTAATGGCGTGACTCTTTGTCTTCATGAGGCCACCATCGGACGTGTCGTCATCACCGGGGATCATTTCTCAAGGAAAATTTTACGGGTCGCCGGTCCACAGGGGACATGGCAAGTGGTCAGTACCCACAGCCAAAACAAAAACGAAACTATTTTTTATTTATTTTACCAGGTTAAGGCCCACTGAGTTATGTAGCTCTTTTTCAGAAGCGACCTGGCCACAAATGATAGCTCAGCGAAGGCGAAGTGGCTTATTATCACGTGGAGATTTATAGCAGCCGCATACTCTAAACGCACGTTTATAAATGTGGAGGGCAAAGCCGGAGGACCCGGAGAAAAATCCACAGCGACCACTGGGGAGAGAGAGAGAGAGACACCGCAAACTCCAAATATACAGCAGCAGGCGTCAGGGTCGGGATCGAACCCACGACCCCCTTGCACACCAGGCGTAAGCAAGGGGCGTACTGGGTGTGGTGTGCCGGGAAATATTTCCCACGCCGCCGAACCGGACAGACCCAGCTGCAGTTGATCACCGATGATAAAAGCTGCTTCCAGTCTCTGCAGCATCTGCTCCTCTGCTTCCAAGAGCAGGGATTTTGTCGATTCAAGTTCGAACCAAAGGCCACACGCCCGGCTGGCGATATGGGCCATTTAATCGGTTACCGTGACGGTATTATTTATGAGGGCTTGGGAATGGCCACTGGGACCTCTGGGGCAGCACCGTAGACGCTACCAGGGCAGGTCTCGAGGGGGTTTTTGCCCGGTTAGCCCAAGATACCCTCCCGTGGCTGATAGACCTTGCGAGATGCTGAGCAATGGGAGATGATGAGCAATGGAAGATGATGAGAAATGGGAGTTGCGAGGAGAGTTTACCAGAGCGAGCACCTACACACACGCCTGTCACTCGTGATGGATGGCCTTGATGATGATCCTGTAAGATGATAATATATATGATGATGCTCTTTGGTTCTTTCGGTAAAGTCACGTAGGTATAAAATAAAATAAATCACGACGTTTTGATTGCAACACAAGCAATCATCGAATTAAACAAATCAGGACGTTTCGATGATTGCTTGTGTTGCAATCGAAACGTCGTGATTTATTTTAGTTTATACCTACGTAACTTTACCGAAAGAACCAAAGAGTATGGATTCCTGCAGTCACAAAAGCTTCAAATCTACATGATGATGATCCAACTTCATTTAATAGAGCACCCTTTACAATAAAATTGTCACAGAGCCTATATAAATGGTGACGACTGTTTTCACTTTGTAAAACTATAATAATACTATTTTTATTTTACCAGGTAAAGCCCACTGAGCTATGTAGCTCTTTTTCAGAAGCGACCTGGCCACAAATGATAGCTCAATGAAGTGGCTTATCACGTGGAAATCTATAGCAGCCAAATACTTTCAACGCATGATGTTGATTCTAAATATGGAGGGAAAAACCGGAGGCACTGGAGAAACATCCACACGATCGTGGAGAAAGAGACATGCATACTCTAAATATACAGGCGTCAGGGTCGGGATCGAATCCATGGCCTCCTGTATACCAGGCGAGGCAGTCAACAGCTCACCATCATGGCGCCTGCAAAAGGATTATGATGATTCTGCACGTGATTTTTTTGATGTAGATCACGAGGATCATGATCCTGCAATTATCATGACGATTCTGATGATTTTAACAATGACTATGCTGTACCAGTGACGAATTGGCACGTTCTGTTTACGTGACAACACTTACTAGTTGGCTGTGTCGGGTGGTGGCGGGTTTTAACGACACATTTATATATTTACGCGATCTAACCCAAAAAAACCTCTACTATGAATGACAATGTGCATGATGATTATCCTGTAGATGCCACTGATAATAAAGCTACCCACGGCAACCCAACACATTGAACCACTCGAAACCAGAACACCACCACCACCAACAACAACTTAAGATCAATTAATTAATTGGTAGACACCACGTAACAATTATCACCCGCTGCTGTGAAAACTCAGCAGGACCCTCCTTAATATATAAAAAAAAACCAATGAGACTAAGTGAGGCTTTCCTGGGTAAAAAAAGCAAAATAACAATCACCAACAACAGCAACAAACTTTACCCACAGATTCTGTCCATCGTGCAACGACCGCCTGTCCACCGCACGCACGCACACACGGGCACGCACACACACAGGCACGGGCACGCACACACACGCACGCACCTTGAACTCCTTCTCGATGTTGGCGAGCGTGGCCAGCTCGTCGCTGAGCTCGAGCGCGGCGAGCACGGGGTCCTCGCTGGACAGCGACAGGTACGCGGCGCTCGCCAGCCCCCGGTACGCGTTGATGCGCGAGCGCGAGTGGCTGAACGAGTCGCCGGCGCGGTGCCGCTCGGCGCACTCGCCGCACGCGCAGAAGTAGTCGTGGGGCCGCTCGATGCGCGCGCCCTTGCGCAGCAGGATGTGCACCACCTCGAACTCCTGGCGGTGCGCGGCCAGCACGAGCGGCGTCACGTCGTGCGAGAAGCGCGTGCCGTCCTCGTCGTACGCGTAGAAGTCGTCGCTCGGGTCCAGCTGCCCACGGGGCCGCGGCGCCAGACGGCGGCCGCCCGCGAACGCCGGGTTGCTCAGGATGGCCTCCACGATGCGCACGTACCTGCCGGCGGGCGTGGCGGCCGTCGTTTCGGTTAAAATCGGCGCCGACCGCCACCCGCGAGCCCGGGTCACGGTCATCCCCGCGGCAACCTCCCCCGCAGATCGAGAGCAAGGAAAGCGGTCCTACTACAAGGCATCGCCATCACTTGGGTGCACGGCGAATCTGTGCGACCGCCCTGGGTCCCGCGCTTTGGGGGGGTGACGGCGGGGGACGCGCTTGTGACGTCACGGTGTCACGTGTTCTCCGGTTTAGTTTGAAGGCGTCGGCGTGATTTGCCCTGGGCACCGCACCCCCCTATGGACGGCCCCACCCTACAGCTACTCTAATCTCCCCGACCCTAAACCCCAACGCGAAGCCCTCACCCATAATGCCTGATCCCTTAACTTAAACCCTCAGCTTAAATACTAACCTTAAATATAAATAATAACCCCAACCATCAACCACCATCCCTACCCATCATCCCTACCCCCTAACCCTAAATCCTAACCCCCCAACCCCAACAATGAAAACTACCCCCAACTCTAACTGTTCACCCTAAACCCGAGCCGTAAATACTAACCCACAGTCACACACCCTAAACTTTCACTGTATTCTATAACCTAAACCCAACTCGAAAACCCTAACCTTCACCCTTACACATTCCTGCGGAGGGAGCTGGTAGGAACGTTGGGTTGCTCGGTCAATGGCCAGGGTCAACGGCGGCGTGGTGTATTCCGCAAATATGCCCGTCTGTGAGGGAGGGCACAAGCCGGCGTGAGTAGGTGAAACGTTGAGTTTTATAAGGGCACCACGGGGTGACAAGCCCCTCCCCACCCAGCCCTACCCCTCCCACATTTCTCGTAGGTATTGTTCGTTTTGAAGCACCCTGTACTGCAACGGCCTGAAGCTATTATAATATTCGTATGGCTTTATAATTCACCCCCTATTTATCAATCATGAGCCAGCCCATAGCCTCAGGGGCTGCGAGGTCTGCAGACCGATACCACTCCACCATCTATCTCCCTGCCTTCTGCCGATTTCAATACCCCCCCCACCCCTCGTTCTTGGCGGCTGCCTGCAGGAGCGATGTGGACACTGACAGCCCTTCGCTGAGTCTCGCAGAGCCCTCAAGAGTCCATGCCAGGGTGTCCCCGTGCTTTGGAAAATGTGTCAAGTCTGTTGTTGTAAACTGTTAACTTTCTTTTTGCACTTGGAATGAAAATGGAGCGCTTGGAGACAAGTGCGTTCACGTGACAACGGACACGGACATTGATGTTGCTGGCCGCCTACTTGCTGTGCTGTGTCTCTCACCGGCATTGATTTCCTTCACGGGCTGACCGTCTCGCTAAGTCAGAGGACCTGCGCCGCTACCTGCGAGCGGTTTTGTTGTGTAATTGAAATATCTACACGTCGTTATTGCGCAAACGTTTTACCGATTTACTGGCGTCGTGGTTGAATGCACTGCGTTGTGCAGGTGGAGACTCCACGCCATGGCTACCAACTCGTGGCGAACCATATCGAGAACTTCCCAGGGGTCCCCTCCTCCTCAGCGGTCCGCACCGTCCGGCGTGGTGGAGAGCGCCGTGGCTTGGGGAGGGCCTTCATCCAGCAGTGGATTAAAGAGGGGCCTGCCAAATATTTTTTTCTTTCTTAACATGCAAACCGTTTTCATTTTGTTTTGTTTTCTGTACTAGTTCCCCTGCCAATGGGTGAACTGATCTTCACCCTAACGCCTCGCAAGCATTGATTGGAAATTAAAAAAGTAAATCAAGCTGCCCGCTGGAGCTGTGCGTGTGTCGAGAGGTAGTTCCCCGGCCCCACCACTCGACTTGCACCGCCTGACCCGCAACGCGATGCCCGCGGACTGGACGGCCCCCCGCCAGTGCCCCGTGCACCGCGCGAGGTGCCCTGGGAGGAGCGGTGGTGCAGCGGTGTCGGCGCACTGAGCTGTTGTGGACCTGGCCCAGTGACCCACTTGAGTTCCAAATTCCCGGCCACGGCGAACGTCAGTGGTGGGCGATATATCTGAGCTGCTGGTGGGAAACACCCTTTCACTAACCCACACCACAATCGCCAGCGTGGTGAAGTATGGCCAACCAACCCCCTCCCCCCCCCAAGGACCGAGAGGAGTTTGGCGGTTTTTATCCATCAGTGGATGACAAAGAGCCGCGAGAATCGAAGAACACAAATCCATCCTCTGTGGTCGACTCCTGCTAGAGCTCCCAACGAAGTCTACGACTGCGTGTGCGAAGGCACTCGGGGTTAGATTCATAAGCAGTGAGTTCAGCGAGGCGTCGGTCTAAGCCTCTCGCCTCATTAACCAACAGGGGAGAGAGGGTAGGGCACAGGGACTACAGTCCCGTGCCTGCCATTGGTATAAACACACAAAGATAAAGATGTCTCGCTTAGGCAGACAGCCTGTTGGGGAAAGTGCCGTTACCGAGCACCTGCTAAGGCAGGGAGAGTGCGGCGGTGTGGCAAACCCAACCCCCAGCCGCCTTTGTCTCTCTCTCGAGTGCTCACGTTTCACACGTTACGTCGGTTACTTCTTCAACAACGCTCAGACCACAGAGAGGAGACCCAGGACCGGTTCTAATATCGCTCGCCTCTGATGTTGGCCGTGGCCGGGAATCGAACTCGCGTCGCTGGGTTGGTAGCGCGGTGCAGTAACCGCTCCGTTGTCGCTCCCCGCAAAGTAGCATCATTGTCGGCAACACCTGCGACCAGTCCACTGCGGGACGAAGGCTTCTTCAGGTTCATTGCCATCTCTGCCGCAGGACTCTGCAGTGGCGAGATGTTATCGCCCTCACCTGGTATGCAGGAGCTCGTGGGTTCGATCCTGACCCTGACACCTGCTGTATATCTGGAGTTTGCATGTTCTCCCCGTGGTTGCGTGGATTTTTCTCTGGGTCCTCCAGTTTTTCCCTCCATATTTAGATTATTTAGATGCTGTAAATATCCACATGACAAGCCACTTCATTGACATATCATTTGTGGTCAGCCAAGTCGCTTCTGAAAAACAGCAACATAGCTCAGTGAGCCTTAACCTGGTTGAATAAAATGGTTTAGTTTTAGCTCATCTAAATCGCTCCATCTCCATGGCGCTAAATTTTTCTCTTTGACGTCTCTCCATCACCAATCTTGTCCCATCAGCCATCGTGAGTCGTGTGCTCGCCCTCTCACATGTTTCAGCAGTCAATGTGATGACTCACATTGCCTTCCTCTGAGTGTGATTATCTCGAGTATGCATCTCTCCACCCTTGTTTGTGTCACGCTAAGTTCTTGTTGCGTTGGCCATGTTTATGATCTGTATGGTTTTAAGCGAACGATACGCACGTGTCGTCTTTGTTAGAGAAGGACCCCCGTATAGCCTTAACAGACTGTTGGGGCAAGTGATGTTAGCGAGCACCTATGAAGGCCGACACGGCACACGATGGGGTGGGTGGCCAGCACCACGCCCGACCGCCTTTGTCTCCCTAGTGGCAATGTTTACACACCGCACCAGGTACTCATTTGAGGCTGAGTCGTCCTAGGGGAGGCCCAGGACCAGTTAAGATAATCGTCACCGGTATTGGCCGGGTCGCCAGGTTCGTAGCGCGGCACGCTAACCGCGACACAAGCGCTCCCCATTTGTAAGCCAGACACTACGCCGACAACTGCACGTGTGCTGACAACTTCCCTTTGTAGCTACATTGGTGCCCTGCTGCTCAATGGTAGATTATTTATATTATTATTTATATAATTTCTATTGTTGACAATCATTATCGGTGTATTTCCCATTGTTGTACACGAGTCTTGCGTGGGTTATATTTATCACATTTATGTTGAGCCCTGCTCTGCACTCTTCGCTATTGGGTTCCTCGATCATTTCCCGTGCTTCATTTCCATCGGTTGTTGTAATGATTGTGTCATCGGCAAATCCGAGACGGCTAATACAATTTTTCCATTTATATACGTGCCATTATTTCTCTCGTACAATGTTTCCCTCTCCCAGAAAAAAAAAAGTGCTTCTGTAGCGCCGCTGTGAATATCCTTGATGAGAATCCCTTTCCCCGCATGAGTGCTCTTCTCGATTTGTGCCTTGTTACGCAACGTATATGTCGTCTCAGCTTAGCCGTTCCATCTTCGCAAAAGGTTTTTGTAAAAGAAAAATTGTTATAAAGGACACGGTGTGTAAAGCGTCTTCCGCTGAATTAAAGAAATGTAATATTTCCCCATAGTCTTCGCTGCTTGATATTTATTTGATACTTTTTTTAATGACGTATCCCATCCTCTCAAGCACCAACTCATCCACTCGCATCGCACTTAGTAGTCACCCACTCCACTGCTCGCTCATCTTCCCGTCCTCCTCCGCTCGCTCGCTCGCTCACCACACCACGCACACCAATTGCCGAACGAATACGTTCTAAGGTCGCACTCCTTACACACAAAGTCGCTTGCCACAAATTAACCACAACACCTCGCTGATCTCGTCAAGGAGCAAAAACCACCATCACGCGAACTCCGGTGGTCGTCCTCGCTGCAGCAGCAGCAGCGGCTTTCGGCTCGCCATCAAACAAAGACGGTGACCACCGCATCGCGATGCACTTTCAGACGCGCTTCTGCGGCCGTCTGGAACGCTCTTCCTTCCGATATTAGGAAGCCACCGGAGCTATCCACTTTTAAATCATCATCATCATCTAGATTGACAAACTGATTTGTTTACAACTGATTTGATGTGTTTTGTTTGTTGTCCATCTCCCGCACCTCCGATTAGCACGGTTGGCTACGTACGGTGCGAAAGAAGTTCAACACACGCACACTCCTCCCCCGCACCTCACCCCTTGCTGATGGCGAGCAGCAGCGCGTCGCCGACGCGCGCCAGCCCCTCCTGCTTGAGCAGCAGCTCGGTCACCTCCAGGTGCTCGTTGCCAACGGCGAGCTGCAGCGCGTTCTGGCCCATGTAGTCGACGCAGTTCACGTTGATGGGCCGCTCGCCGAGCCCCTCCAGCATGCGCCGCACCACGGGGATGTTGCCGTACTCGGCCGCGTCCAGGAAGCGCTCCTCGTCGGCCGTGAGGCTGGCGGCGCGAGCCCCGAACATGTACGCGGGGCTGCGGCCCGCCTGCCGGCGGCCGGCCTTGTCGCGCGGCCCCGTGGGCCGACGCAGCATGCACGAGGGCTGAGCGCGCAGCGGAGGCGCGCGTCTGCGGGGTGGGAAGGGTGCGGGGTGCGGAGTGGGGGTTATGGTGAGGAGGCGAGGGTGCGAGAGAGCGGCTTGCTCAGCTGCTCCTGTCGTCGTCGTTGTCATTCTCAACGAAATCGCTCAATTTCTCACCCGTTCGCTCGCTCGTTGCTCTGCACCCACACCTCACCACCCTTCCATTCGCCCCGTCACCCGTTTACCAAATCTCGCGTCCTTGGAGCACCTCGCTCACTCCTCCGCCACCCAGCGCTGGATTAAGTTCGATGGGAGCCTGGGGCTGTGGTAGATTTTTGAAGGCCCCCCCTTTATCCATCCAATTCCTCCCCCATACTGTTTCACTACCACCACCGCTACTGCGACTCATGCCTGATGCCAAACGGTACACTGTCATTCTGCTTGGTTATTGCAGTTGTTTTCCCTTCTAAATGGGGATATGCAAATTGTCAAGCTGCGCGGCCCTATAAGCTTCCCCCCTAAAGGAAATCTGTCCCTGGTCCTAGAATCCGCGCGTGACCCCACGTGCGTTGAACGAGGAGGGGCGGACGAATGACGGCGCACGGGGAATTGCGCCGTGCGATGCGGGCCAACAATGTTTGTTTGTGTTCGCGAAGGTTTTTGTTTTTGTTGACGACTGTGTGGGGATTGTTTGGCCGGCGTGGTGCGGCTCTCTGGTCGGACCTCGTGCCCAGCGTCGTCCTTCCCCCGCGACCTCCGATGAGCGCGGCGGGCTCCGTGCGGCGTGCGAGAGAGGGGGTACGTAACGGCACGTCGGGGAATGTCTCCCGTTGTGAACACTCAATGCGTCTTCAGTTATACATGGGTGTGTGTGTGTGCGTGTTTTTAAATGAGCGCCGTTGATTTAAAATGAAGTTCTTTGGATAATTGAGAGAAGGGGTTAAAAAGTAAAATGTAACGATATGTACCAGAGCACGCATCCTACTCACAAACAAGACGGTGTTTGTGCTTTCAACTTTGTCAAGTTCTTCACTCAATGTATCTAAGCAGGTGGGAAACTATTGAGACTCCAGTTTCTTGCACAGGGTGTATGCAGTTAGAATTCCGTGGATGAGTTTTATCGTCGACATAATCTAAATAAGAAGATGTATTTATGCTGAAGAAATCCGATAAGCTATGAAGCTTTTTTCCACAGATGTCCAGAAGAGGGGGGGGGGGGTTAGAAAGTTACTAAACAAAACAACGATAGGAGTGCAAAGTATAGGGAATGTAAGCAAATCACTAAAAGTAGATCAATATACTAAAACGAAGCTATGTTTTATTTTTACAGGTAAAGCCCACTGAGCTATGTAGCTCTTTTCCAGAAGCTACCTGCCCACAAATGATAGCTCAACGAAGTGGCTTATCATCGTGTGTAAATGTATATCCCCCGGAGAAAAAAAACATCCATGCAACCACGTGGAGTACACGCTCGCTCCAAACAGCGGGCGTCAGGGGTCAGGATCGGATCCACGCCCTCCTTGCACACCGGGCGAGGAAGATGACACCACGCAACCACGATTCCATTGAATTGCGGTGACGATCTCGATGGCAAGCGCTACTGTTGTACCCATCGATCTACCCACCAAGAAGCTCTCTTGCCAAAACATAGAAATGAGGATACGTCCACGGTACTTACATGGATGGCAAAAGAGGAGTAATTTAACTCCGCTCAATGTGCCTCCCCAGGGTCGTTTCTCCCACGCTTAGCAATCACCAGATGTGGGCAGTGTACGACGGCTGTGTCCGATTTACACATGAATGGGGAATAACGGAATGGGAAGATGGGCTCTGGGGAGGCGTAACGGCCTAAATTATTTGAGAATCACTGCGTGAGGCTTAAAATTCGGCACCGTGAATGAATATCTAATTAATACCGGAGATAGGGGAGTGTTCGAGCAGGTGGTCTGAGCGATATAAAGCGACCGTGTCTTGTTCTACACGCCGCCCATGAAGGTATCATCATTGGTTGAAGATGTATCATGTGACGGCACCTTGAACTTAACGGTCGAAATATTGTCAACGTACTCCTTACATTAACACATATTTCCAATTAACTCGCAGCCCTGTGTCAATCCACTGCCGTGATGAATGCCTCGCCACACCCGTGTCAGTCATGGGTGTGTGTCTTTTTTCCCCACCATACTTCACCACGCTGGTCAGTGCAGGTGGCGAAGGGGAGGGCCCCAGGACCAGTTCAGATATCGCTCGTCACTCATGTTAGCCGTGGCCAGGAGCAAACTCAAGTCCCCCGGGTTGCTTACATGTAGAAACATGTCAGGGTTGTTAAACGATGATCCGTAAACCAAGTCATTTTCAGAATCGATGATCGATTAGGAACTCAATAATCCGTAAATTGCTCCCAGTGGAATTTCGTCAACAAATGAGCGGTTTTGTTGACACGTGTGATCATACACGCCGCCGTCGTACACACAGCGCGGCGCTTGCGACTTTGTCTGCCAGCGGCCGTCATCTTGGGGCGCCAGTGGGAGGCCTGAAGCACCACCGTGCGGCAGGCAGCACACTTCGCTGTGGACGAGCCTCAACAGCCAGGATGGGTCTCTGGGTCGTGCCGCCACGCTCTACCCCAGCACACGTGACCTACCGAGCGGCTGAACTCGTGCACACATTTGTTCCCGTGGGTGGGTGGACAGAGGTGGGCAGATTGAACGAACTTGCTGCCTTTATTTCAACTGCCGCGCCCGGAGATCGAACGATAAGATCGGAACCGGCGACCTCTGGATTGGAAGTCCGGTGTGCTGCACACTATTACACCAGGGCAGCTTCTTGTGTTTCCCAGCTAAACAAAAGGGCAGCGATGTTTCGTTTATTGCTCGAGACATTTTTAGACGTACGGCTAACCGGTAATCGGCCCTTTTATTTCTTGTGATTGTAATGCACTTGCTTTAACAACCCTAATGCGCGTGTGTGTACACAGCCATGTATACATTCAGTGAGTGTTTTCTTGTTTAGCAATAGCCCGACAGGTATTAACGAGCCCCTTAAGAAGCTGTGGTTACCCAGCGTGCTGCTCTATACAGAAAGGGGAATTGGACCCGTTCCATTACTTTGGGAAAAATGTTTTATGGGCGGGTAATAGGTAATGTGTGTGCAGTTTTCAATTGAGATGACTGATGCGCTGTAGGAGTACAACTTGTAACTGCAGCGTAACATTTTCATGGCATATATCTCGCCCCCCCCCCCCCCCTCGTATAGCTACAACAGGCTGCTGGGGCAAGTGCTGTTAGCGAGGAGCAACTATGAAGGCTGCCACGGCGCACGAGGGGGTGGGTGGCCAGCACCACGCCCGGCCGCCTTTGCCTCCCCAGTGGCGATGTTTACTACACACCGCACCAGGTACTCGTTTAAGGCTGAGTCGACCTAGGAGAGGCCCAGAACCTGTTCAGATAATCGTCACTGGTGTTGGTGGTGGCTGTGAGCAGGAAACTCGGGTCACCTGGTTCGTAGCGCAGCGCGTTAACCACTGCGCTACCGCTCCCCACATTATATATACTAAAAAATACAAAGATCCCCCGTATAGCCTTAACAGACTGTTGGGGCAAGTACTGTTAGCGAGCACCTATGAAAGCCGGCACGGCACACGAGGGAGTGGGTGGCCATCACTATGCCCGGCCGCCTTTGTCTCCCCAGTGGCGATGTTTACACACTGCACCAGGTACTCATTTGAGGCTGATTCGATCTAGGGGAGGCCCAGGACCGGTCTAGATAATCGTCACTGGGTGTTGGCCGTGAGCGGGAATCGAACTCGGGTCACCAGGTTCGTAGCGCAGCACACTAACAGCTACACTACCGCTCTACACACACACAACATTCTATATTCCATCATGGCAACTATCGCCGTAGAGGTGAAACTGAGCACCCATTCAAATCACAAGAACCAGTGCTGAATCATTTATTGCAGTTGGCACATCGAGAGCACGTATAAATGATGCACTGCACGTTAAATGGATCTGATGATTGGGAGCCGAGGGAAGATGTATTGCTTCTGAGTGCGGAGGTTGTGGGCTGTTCACGCCGGTGTGTTTCTAAACAGCGATATGCCGCACTGTGTGGGCGGAGTGGTGGCACAGTGGTTAGCGCACTGCACTCTGACCTCTGAAAACCTTGTCGGTCGGTGCCTCCCATGCACCATGACCTCAAAGCGATGCACCAACTGCGCTGTGCTGAATCATTCGCCTGCACCTGCCGTACCTGCCATGGTTAACTTGAGAGCGGAGAGTGGCAGCTGAACCAGTCCTGGGTCCTCTCGACATTTAGCAACCCGCACTGATCAGCACGGTGACATATGGTCAGTCGTGCCCCATGAGCGACATGTCGGGGGGAAGGAAGAACTTCACTCAGCAATGGATTGAGAAAAGCCTGCCTATGTTTATTATTGTCACTATCACGGTACGCTGCTGCTGCTGCGGCGTCATGGTGAGCACACCGGCGGTTTGGAGGTCATCAGCTCGGTCTCCTGGCATGGCGGTGGCAACATCGGTGCAAGTTTCTTTAAATTCCCCTACGCCTCTGTCCACCCAACGGTTTGGATGGGCTACTTCACAGCTGAGCGGCACTTCACGCGTGGTGGGGTGCATTGTGGGTACCCCCACCTCTTCCGAGACATTTGGCCCGCACGGAAAAGGAGGCCCAAACCGCTCCATTCTACAGAGTCGAGTTAATTATTTGGCGATGCTCCTGCATTAGCAGTGGTGCACAAGCACAGCACATTTACAAAAAACCCCGCAAAATATTCGTCCGTAACGCTTTGGCGTTAGAAGGTAAAAAAAACTGTTTATAACGGCCGACGTTTCAGGTAATGGCCCTTCCTGACAGCACACAGAGAGAAGCCCGAGAGAGAGAATGCAGGCGATCTGTAGAGCTCCCTCTCGTGGAGGCACCGTACGCCCGCAGGGGCGTGAGCGAGCAATTTCAGGGCTGCCCCTTTACCTCCCGTCGTCATCGTATGCCGAGTGCAACCAAACCCAGCTGTGGCGAGGCGCAGAG